TAGTACACTACGGGCAAGCCTACGACGCATCTTTTGTGGTATATGAATGTTATTTCTAAGGGTGAGTGAATTTTTTCTATCTTGAGTTCCTAATTGTTCTTAAATTTTTATTGTGTATGGAACTACTCTCTTTTGTTGTATGAGGGCACTTGATTCATGAATGAAAGGTAATGTCATTGACCTCTATGTTAGAGTAAGTGAGTGAGTTGTGAATAATGCATGGTACTTGTGAGTCAAATCTTGAGGTGAAGATGTTAAACTCTTGTGTTTAGTCTATTTTAAAGATTCTTGGTGTGATGAGTTAGGAGAATTGTTTAAAAATATCGTGTCTATATAAAGTGTAGTTTGATTGCTCGAGGACGAGCAACGTTTAAGTGTGGGGTAAAGATGTTTGACTATAATTATATATTTTTAGTGCACTACTTACCTTATATTTTAGAGTTTTAATACTAAACTATACTATGTTTGTGCTTAATTGAGTATATTTTATGTGCAGGTACGTTGAAAACGAAATTGGAAACAAAGTAAAGATTTTATATATATTTTATACAATACAAAAATAAAGTTATGATTATTTGATTATTGGATATATAAGGATTAAAAGTTAACATTGCAAAGGAAATCAAAACAAAGAAGAGAAACAATTGCAAAATAAGAGAAAAGAAATGGAGGAGTTAGGCAGCTAGCACTAACGAGAGAAAGCAGAAAATAAAAATTGAAACAAATCAGCAAAGAAGTCAGCAACGCGAGAGAAATTCCTCGCGTTAGGTTTTGCGACGCGAGATCCAGCACGGGCTGCTTCGCGCGTTCCACGTGGCGATGCGTGATCCGTATTTTTAAAGCCTATTTTATCTTCTATTTAATTTTGAACTTGGTTATTTCGTTTAGGTATTTTTCCTACACATATAAATAGTTATTAATCATCATTTTTAGAGGAGTTTTGCGACCGGGGGAACACACACCACGTTTGGAGGAGGCTTCTAATAGTTTTTTCTTCTCTTCTCTTCCAGAAATTCATAGTTTATTTGTTCTAGAGTTGTTGGGTGCTACATGAACGTTGTAGTTTGAAACTTGAATTGTTCTTATTATTTTATCATATTGGTTTATTTATTTAATCTTGCGCTTAATTATTTGATTGTTTGATCACCAATTGAATACTATCTACGAATCTAGGATTGAACTCGGGAGAGGAAAATCTAAATTGCATATAAGATTGAGTAGAACAAGATCTTAACTCTGGGGGGAGGAGGGGGATTTGCGGTTAGGATAGGAATATACCTAATCGCCTTGCTTGGTTATTATACGGGAATTATAAATGCGTTCTTGTTAATTTTAATTTCACAGGAATATAGGCGTTAGATTAGCTTGAATAGGCGAGTTGTACTTCGGAAGAAGGCTACGAGCAATATTAACCCTGTCAACCAATAAATCAGATAAATTAATTAGACGGTTTAAGTGAAAAATTCAACGGGATTGTTAGCTAACCCATAACTCTAGAATATTCTCTCCCATTGAATTAGTCTTTAAGCTTGTCGTTGTTTTCTTTAATTTCTTAATTTGTTACTCTAGATTAATTTTAGTTAAATATTCATACTTTATGATTCACTTGAATAAATTAATTATTTAGTTTAATTTAGTAAATAGTTAATCACAAGTTCCTGTGGGTACGATATCTGGACTTACAATCCTATATTACTTGTCGACCACGTATCATTGCGTGTGCGTTTGGTAGCAACAATTACGTTAATCTTAATATTAACAAATAAATTTGGTCCAAAAAATTAATCAATCAGCCGAACTCGAACCCAAAGCAAGCAACGACGACGGCGCAAGACTTGCCTTCTTCTTAACTCTTTAAGAGCTTGAACAAAAGCAATTGTATATATACCCATCAAAAGTGTTTTCCTCTTTCAATATGGGACAATGTCCCTTTGTCAAGTAGGGAAACTCAAATATTTTATTTTCCCTCCATTTTTCCTCCATTTCCCATTCACCCTCCTTTGAGCTAAAATAAGCTTAAAACCCAACATATCTTTGAAATAAGCTTCACATGTTTCATTCGACATCCATAAATAAAAATTAGTCTGTGTAATTATTCTTTGTGATTATGATCAAAATGGACAAAGTATCAAATAGAGTTTTTTATACTAACAATTATTCAGATTGTTTATTCAAGAAGAAGGAAAGAGGGTTTGACACTTCCTTATAGTTTACATAAAAAGTCTTTTCTTTTTGTGTTTGATGTCATTTAATCAAACAAGCTACTTTATTTTTCATAGTTGTGCTAATAGCAGGGGCGGACCCACGTTACATTATATCGAGTGGGTTCAAGTGAACTCGCTTTGTCATTTTTTTTAAAATTGTATGTGTAAATTATACTCAAAACATATAAGTAAATAAAATGAATCTACTTGGACCGATGAGGAATGCTAATTCGATGGTCAAGCGGGGTCATTTTAAGATAGAGAACGTGGATTCTATTTTTAATTTTCTGAAATCATGAGGAATGCACATGTTTGCACAGTACAACTGTAACCGGCTACTCACTTTGACATCTGATTACTGTGACTATTGTTAAATTAGTTTAATCTACCAATATGTTAAAATTGTTAGATTATTTTTCGTTTTGAATTTTACTATTTTCCATTGTCATATAGAAGTTATTTTTAATTGTTATAGCTATTTAGATTATATTATTTATTGTTTTTAAATAATACTTAGCTTTTAAAAGTTATATTTGTGTGAAATTTATTTAGTGTCGATTATATTACTTCAGTACTTCCATACGTTATAAAGTTGCATTTTTTCTCTTCTTCTTTTTTGCAATTAGCTCTTTTAAAATTTATTTACTATTTTATTAAATTGTGTGTTTATTTATTTATTTATTTATTGTTCAAGTAAATTCTCTGTTAATTTTAATTCTTATTTTATTTATATTTAGGCAGAATAGCTTAATAAACACATCTACTTGTCCCGTTTTGTCATCCCGGTTTCGATACTCTATGAAATTTCATCTAGACACTCGTAATTTTTAAAACACATTACTTTAAACCACTCTAACCGTTGACCAAACATACGTGGCAATTTCATGACCGAGTTGGACAAAATACGTGAACTCCATGCGTATAACGAGAATAAACATAAAAAATTAGATTAAAAATAATTAAAATAAGAAGAAAAAATAAAAATAAAAATAAAAAGTAAAAGTAAAAGACAAAAAAAAATATATAATATAAAACAAAATATATCCGTTCTTTCTTCTTTCCCCACCACTCCCCCATTTCTTTTTCTCTTTCTAGTTTCTACCCTTCCCCTTTCTTTCCCCACCCCTCCTCCATTTTTCTTTTCTCTTCTCCCCTTGTTCCTTTCCCGTTATTCCCCTCCCCATTTTCGCAAACCTTCAGTTAATATTTGAGAAAAAAGTAGTAAATTTTTTGTTGAAGATCAATCACCATTAATGTTTCTGAAATGAATTAGATCTATGTCTATTGGCGGTATTGAATCTGGTTTGGGTAACAATTATTTCAGGACTAATAGATTCTCAGGCGGTGAAATAGATATTTAATGGTGGAATTTTATTTGATGAGAGAAGATGAAAATCTAATTTTTTGGGAAGTTTATGGTGAGGTGTTGGAGATCTAGTTTAGTTGTCCACGGTGGTGCTGCCGCCGGTAAAGATGGTAATATACAGGCTGTAGGATTAGATTCCCCTCTTTCCAAGATTCAAATTTTGAAAAATGTTCTAATATCTTCATTCATTCATGGCAGAGAGAAGTCTGCATTTCCTTATTCCTCTTAGTTATCTAAGGTCTTGATTTTTTCCCCTCTTTTTGTGCTCAAGCAGTTTATCTACCAAGATTTCTTAGCTTCAGCTACTTGGTTTAAGGATCTCGGATTAACGAGTTTAAATCAATTTAAGGGATCCATTGCAAGCTTATGGCTTTCTAACGAAGTTGATTTTTGGTAAAGGCGTCTTGTTTCATATGAAGGAGGGACAATTTTGACTATCAAAGAAACGAATGTAAGACGAAAGATGCCATGTTTGATGTTTTCAATAGTTGGTCAAGGGTGGGGAGGAGTAGAGCGGAAAAAAATTAAATTTTTGAAATTAAAGTTAAAAAAAGAATGATGTGTCATTAAAAATTTGATGTGGACTATGATGTGTCATCCACATCGTGTGTTTGAAGAGCACACGAGGCTGGAGGGGTTTAAAGTAATGTGTTTTAAAAACTACGAGTGTCTGGATGAAATTTCGTAGAATATCGGGACCGGTATGACAAAACGAGACAAGTAAAAATATTTATTAGGCTATTCTGCCTTATATTTATGGTGCTTCAAAATTGTTAGAATGCTATTGTATTAACTTATCTTTTGAGTAAATCATAATAATTTAAAACTGAAGAATTTAAAGGAAAATTGATAGTCTAATAACGGGTTTTATATATATATATATATATATATATATAATATTTCTATTATAGACTATCATCACCTAATGTTTACTATATCTAAATGAACTCTTGAATATATTTTTGGTCCGTCACTAGCTATTAGTACTACCAGTAGGGGGTTCCATTTTTATTATTAATTATAGTTTTGAAACATTAGAAGATTCATTAATTTATTCTCTGCAATGCAATTCTATATTCTATTAGAAAACTAATTAGAATAAAACAAATAACCATATAAAACTGATATAAATCTAAAAGATTTAATTTTACAAAATTAAACTGAAAAGGATATAGGAGAAATTAAAGAAAATTTTATTTTTTAAGAAAAATAAAATAAATTATATATACACTTCTATGAACGAATATGTATGTAAATACATGTACAAAACCAGAGAATTAAGTGCGTGCAAAATTATACATTTGCACATTTTGGTCATTTTTAATATTCAAATATTTATAAAATGATAATTATTCTAATTTAATTAAGTGCTCTACCAACTGCACTAGTATCAAAATAATAATAAGTACCTGGAATAGTGGAGGGTTATTAGTTGAAAAAAAAATCAGCAAACTCAACACGCAACCAATGTAAATAAATGTACAGAAAAACATATCTCTCTCATATATTTGAAGGACTGCAACACACTTCCCATTATTCAAAGCCGCGTCCCATACCTTCTCCCTTTCCTCTGTACATACATACGTCTCTATCTCTCTCCTTATATAACACACACACACACACACACACACACACACACACACACACACACACACACACACAGAGTTGCCTAATTATTTTTTCGCCAGCCCAAATTTCTTTGATTTGCGGTGCTCGCCATGCTACTAATCTTTGAGGTAATTAACTAGTTTCATCTGGGTGGTTATGTATACTTATACTTGATACTGTATTACTTCTCTAATTGGGGTTTTTTTTGTTTGTAAATCTCCTTGTTTTATAATTATTTTTGGGGTTTACTTTAAGTTTTATGTTAATTTTTCTGTTTTGCATATACTCTAATTAAGATTTGTGTTCCTTTTTAGGTTGATTTGATAAATTGGGGATTTTGATCTGTGTTTTTATCACGTTCATGAATGCACTTTTGTTCGTATCTACTAATATATTCTCCTTTTATCCCAATTTATGTGGCGGTATTTGACTCGCCAGAGTTTAAGTAAAAGAGATTTTTTTGATACTTCAGTGGTTATAAATCATTTCGCATAAACCATTTCATTAAGGGTAAAATAACAAACTTAAAGTTAAAGTTGTTTCTAAATATAAAAAATTACAATTTTTGGGACACTAAAAATGAAAGTGTGCCACACAAAGTGGGACAGAGCGAGTATTCATATTTAGGGTAGGATTCAAAATTTTAAGTTAGTGGATGCATAGCTTAGCTGCAGACTTGGTATATGTGTAAGTATATGTTTAAAAAAATTTCAACTAGATATATTGTTGGAGAAGAAAGGTACTAGATGAGGGTGCACCTGCTGCTAGCATTATAAATCTACCGCTGTTAAAATTTTCCTTTTGCCCTGAATTAGGTTTTAATAATTACAACAATAACAACAAACCCAGTGAAATCCCACATGTGGGGTCTGTGGAGGTTAGTGTGTGCACAGTCCTTACCACTACCTTTGAGAAAGATAGGAGTCCATTGAGTTTCCTCTACTTTGCTGAAGTTTATGTGTTGTATTTATATTTTTAATTTCAATGACATTGTGTCTAAAGATGTTATACCAATGATCATTGCTTTTTCTCTTATTTCTTTTTGGTTTTTCCTTTTTCTACCGAAAGCTTGGATCTTTATTGTGCATACTTGCATATAGTCCACTATTTTACATATTAAGACCTTTTCTTGAAAAAGAAGATTAAATAAACCAGATGCAACGAGCTTATGAAATAAACTTACTTTAAAATTGATATGTCAAAGATGGATATGGGTGATAGGGAATAACTAAAAATATACGAAATGAAAAAATGCAAAAAGAAAATGGTTAATGTAGTGTCAAGTAGTGTCTTGTATGCTCATTTGTGTAAAACTGATTAGGATCGTCCAAATGCTTTACTGTACTCGTTGAAAGAGTGGAGGAAAAAGAGGAAGGTTCAAGCCTAATGGAGAAATAGAGTCACATGGGTGACCCCAAGTTAATGGATTAAGGTTTAATTGGATTAATTTCATTCATCTGACTGAGTTCAATTTATCTGTGCATCCACGTGCGTTTATCTTGTTCACTCACATTAGGTTTTTTTGACATTGATATTGAGGATTCTTACAACCGACCCTAACTGGCTTGGCATCGAGGTGTAGTAGTTGTTGTTGGATGAACTTCACGAAAATAGAGTCTTGGCATTGTTGTTCCTCTTTTCCTCCCTATTTGGCATTGGTTTATAAAAATAGTGTTATTTCCTGTTCTACATGGTCATGGTCCAACTTTTGTTTGTATCTACCAATTTATAGAAATCATTCTCTAGCTAACCAGGCTGAAGCTAAGCATCTTTCAGACACATTAGGAACTTCCTGTAGTTTTCTCGCAGATGCTGTCTTCTGCATCTTTTATCAAAGTTGAGAAAGTTTTCACAATTGGAAAGTGTAGGAGATTATGTATAGTACTGTGGAGCGTGGGTGGAACTTCTCGTTGTCTACAATGCATTCTGATTGAAGATGGCTATACTTGTTCTCACTTATAATGCTGGAATCTTAGATGAATAATTAGGGATATGTCTTGACCCAGATGTTTGTCTGCATGCAGTTCACAAGTATAAAACTGAAATCAGCTATATATCTGGTCTTTATAATTTTACAATTTGTTAGTCATAGCACGGATGTAATCGTAGGGTGTGATATTTTTGCAGTGACAAGATTAGTATCTTTGCGCGTGTCCCATTCTCTTCTCCAAACTTGTTGAAAAGGTTTACTATTTCAAAATATACGTGAAAATTATGATGGAGGTTAAGCTATGGAATGACAAGCGTGAAAGGGAAAGGTATGACAACTTTGGCGAGCTCTTTGCGATTATCAAAGCGACGGAGAAGCTAGAGAAGGCTTATGTTCGTGACATCGTTTCACCAGCTGTATATGAAACTGAGTGCCTGAAACTGATTGCTCAGTTCAAGACCTTATCTTCTACATTGAAGGATGCTGTACCTAACATTGAGCGATTTCATGACACCTACAAAATGGATTGCCTTGCTGCCCTAAACCGGCTTGTGACCTCTGGTGTGCCAGCTACTGTAGAGCACCGAGCTGCTGCTTCAATGTCAGCTGTAACTTCAGCTGCTGTTGTGGCCGAGTGTGTGCAGAACTTCATCACTGCAATGGACTCATTGAAGTTGAACATGGTTGCCATTGATCAGGTCCATCCCCTGTTGTCAGAGCTGTCATCTTCCCTCAATAAGCTATCGATTCTGCCGGTGGATTTTGAGGGAAAGACAAAGATGAGGGAGTGGCTTTCAAGGTTGTCGAAGATGGGGGCTGCAGATGAGTTGACAGAACAGCAGGCTCGGCAACTCCATTTTGATCTGGAATCCTCATACAATTCTTTCATGGCAGCATTGCCCACTGCTGGAACTTAATTGACTATTTCAACAGGTGGTATGTTTGTATATAAGATTGTTGTTGCATTTAGCAAGCTCTTAACACACATGATTCTATCTTTGATTGGAGTGCTGGTCACTATCTGAGTAGAATAGCCATCTATATTTTGGGACTTCATACTTGTTAGATAATTGTAAGACTGGTGGTGGTACCATTTTGGATACTATGAACTCATTATGGATCATACTTCTATCAGTCTATATGCTACTTCTGCTAGTCGAGTTATATTACTGGATTCGAGTGTAGAATACAGAGCTTTATACTTTTGTATGTTAATGGTATACTGTCTCTCTTTTTATGTTTTGGGTGGTGATACTGACTTTACACGAGGTTTGCAAAAACTAGTTTGCTCTTGAATTGTTAAATGATACTTGCATTGCTGTAGTCCCACTGGGTTGGCTAGTTGATAGTTTTCTGATTTATTGTTGCTGTATATCCAATATGTTTTATTTATCAGATTTCTATTGCATATCATATTATGTAATTGGAGCCTTCATGGATTCAGTTGCTTTATGTTTCTGACTCGGGATAATGTATTGTTGGACACTTGGATTAATGCCAGCTTATTTTCATTAGGCCCTTATCGACCAGTTCTTAGTCATATGTCTTTTGCATATTAATTTTGGGAGTAGTTGACAGGAGCCTGGATTGTCAATTATCAATTACAGCATTTTGACTAATTGAGTTTATTATGCGAATTAAATTTACTGCATTTCCAGTTTTCTTTTCTTCATCTTGTTTATGCTCATGGTTTAGTTTCCTATTCTTAGATTTCTAATACTACCTGCTGTTTTTTTTGCTTGGCTTATCTTTTTTTTGGATGTGGTTACTGCTTCTCTTTACATGGCCGTATTTCCTTATCTAAATTGCTGTGTTTATGCTTTTTTTGAGCCGAAGGTCTATCGGAAACAACCTCTCTACCTTCGCAAGGTAATGGTAAGGTCTGCGTACACACTACCCTCTTCAGACCCCACATATGGTAATATACTGAGTATGTTGTTGTTGTTGTTGTTGTTGGTTTAGGTTCTGAGTCCCTTTTATGAGCTGTGTTTGAAGTTTTGAACCTTCAATAGGCATATTGCAACTGCTTTATTTGACTCGGTGCTTTTTTTAACAAAGGATGCCTTATTGCATCGTAGCAAGTTTTGTTTATTACCTTTAATAATTCTCTTTAGAGCTTTGACATGTTACCTTTCCATTGGTTCATGATGCAAATTTCCCCACGTATAATTATGGTGATTCTTGGCAGTTTAGTAGTCAAGCTGCTGAGCCTTAGACTAAGACCTTGAGGAGTAGCTCTTTCTTTGAGTAGTATTTTAGCTATACCCTTTCTAGCTCTTTATACAGAGAAGGAGAAATTGAACTCCATTTTTATCGTCTCAGTGCTTTACTGTGACTGGTTTTGTTACGGAGGCATGCCAATGGTTCTTAGGGTTGCAATTTGCTGAGTCCTTGCCGATTCGATTCTCCATTTCCGGGGCTCGAATTTGTAACTCCTTACCGATCTTCCATCAAACTTGAGATCTCTAGTTAAGGTTGACGATATTTCAATCATCCCACTATGGCAGATTTTTGTACAAATGACGTGGGCGTTGAAGATGATAGACTTTAGTGAATACAATCCACCCCTTTGAGGGTCTTAACGTAGCAGTTTATCCTTTGTTTTAAGAGTGAAAATCTCACCCCTTACTATATATAAGCAGCAAGTGGAAGTTACACCACAATGTTGGTATTGTTTGTATGTAACGACCCGACCGGTCGTTTTGAGTTCTAGCGCGTCGTTTGGCAGTTTAAGGCCTTGAGCAGCTTCACTTTAGGTACTATGACTTGTACGTGTGGTCGGAATTGGATTTCGGGAAGTTCAGAGTTGATTTGGAAAGAGAATTTTAATTTCGGAAGCTTTGAGTTGGAAGAATTGACTAAGGAATGACTTTTGAGTAAACGACCTCAGAATCGGGATTTGAAGGTTCCAATAGGTTCATTCGTATGATGATTTCGGACTTGGGCGTATGTTCGGGTCAAGTATCGGGTGGCCGGGGAGTATTTTGGTGCTTATTACGGAAGGTTGGCATTTTGAAGGTTTATGAATTCCCTAAGTTTGGGTTGAAGTGTATTTTTATGTTATCGATGTCCGTTTAGGATTCCGAGCCTGAGAATAGTTCCGTATGGTGATTTTGGTCTTAGGAGCATGTCCGGACGTTGATTTGGAAGTCCGTAGGTCGTTTCGGCGTCAATTGGCGAAAGTTGGAAATTTGGATGATTTTTGAAAAAGTTTGACCGGGAGTGGACTTTTTGATATCAGGGTCGGATTCTGATTCCGGAAGTGGGAGTAGGTCCGTTATGTCAATTATGACTTGTGTGCAAAATTTGAGGTCGGACTTGATTTGATGGGTTTCGGCGTCGAATGTAGAAGTTTGAAGTTCTAAAGTTCATTAAACTTGAATTGGGGTGCGATTTGTGATTTTAGCGTTGTTTGATGTGATTTGAGGCCTCGAGTAGGTTCGTGTTATGTTTTGGGACTTGTTGATGCGATTGGACGGGGTCTCGGGGGCCTCGGGTGTGATTCAGAGTGGTTTCGGACCAATTCTGGCTGTTTTGGCTGTTGCTGGTTCTAGTTTTGTCCTTCGCGAACGTGAAGGGAGTCCTGCGTTCGCGGAGAAGGGTTTTTGGGTGGTTGATTTTTGTTCATTGCGAACGCGACACAGGGGTCGCGAACGCGGAGAAGGGCCTGAGGAACCTACGCGACCACGAAGAGGCGATCGCGAACGCGTAGAAGGAAAGGGGGAGTTGGGCCTGGAGCAGGTTGGCCTTCGCGAACGCGGCTCATGGATCGCGAAAAGGCAGGGGTCTGAGGCTTCCCGAACGCGACGTATGTGACGCGAACAAGAATTTTGATGCAATGGCATTTGGCCTTCGCGAATGCGAACAAGGGTCGCCTAGGCAGTGTATAAGTTTGCCAAAACGGGTTTTGGATCATTTTATCTCAAATCTTCCATGGGAGCCGAGCTAGGGGCGATTTTGGAGGAGCTTCTTCGTTACCCATCCCAAGGTAAGTGATTCCAACATATTACAAGTTAAATACATGGGTTTTATATGGATTCAAGCATGAAAATTGGTAGAAATTGTGAGATTTTGAAAGAAAGAAATTGGTAGTTTTGAATTTTTACTACGAAATTGGACATGGAATTTGGAATAAATCAAGTTCTGGTGTTATGGATAAAGTTTATCTTCGAAAATTTTCGGAATCCGGACACGTGGGTTCGAGGGTTGATTTTATAGACTTTTTGAGCGGAGTTGAGAATTAATATTAATTGATAAATTATGGGTATTAGGGTATATTTTGACTGGGTTGCACGTTGTTTGAATAGTTTTTGATCGACGGGCTTTGGTTTGAGGTGTTAGAGAGGCTTTGGAGCCGGTTATAGAACTTCAGAGCAAGGTAAGTCTCCTGTCTAACCTTGTGAGAGAGAAACTACTCCCTAGGTGATATTTATTGTTATGTGCAACTAGTTGTGGGTGCTACGTACGCACGAGGTGACGAGAGTCCGTACGTAGCTATAGCATGTTTATGTCCGGGTAGACCTAGGATTTTATCCTGTAATATTTGAATTATTTCAACTCATGTTGCTGACATTAATTAATCGAAGTTATAAATGAAATTGATTTAGAAATAATTATATGTATACTAGGCCAAGCCTTAACACTTTTAGTTGTGGACAAGTTATTTGAGAAACGGTAAAGATTATATCCATTTTGTATCCATGTACGGTGTTGTAAACACGTGTCTCGTAATTCAATGAACTTCTTTCCTTTTCTTGTGGAGTGAGCCGAACGCCTCGGCAGTATATAGGTACATCTATGGTTCGTGCCGCTTGACCCCCCGCATTGTACACATTATTGTGGATCGGGCCGAACGACCTCGGCATAATCGTGCGTTATATCGCTGATGGTCTGAACATTTTCGAGAATATCTTTCTGCTGATGCCCAACATAATATACGGTGTTCCTTATTTATTTGATAATGACACTTGATAATTTTTGAGCTATTAAGGCAGGATACAAGATTGAGAAACTTATACTTTAAAATAAATAATTGGAAGGTTATGCACCTTACGGATTTATCTTGTTATTGTCGTACGTTGTATATCTGTTTAAGTTTTATTATATTGCTTTATTTGACCTATAGTAAGTGTCGATGTCGACCTCTCGTCACTACTCCTCTGGGGTTAGGCTAGATATTTACCGGGTACGCATTGATTTACGTACTCATGTTGCACTTTTGCACTAAATGTGCAGGAACAGACAGGTTCATTTGGTGATCATCCTGGCACGTAGGCGCACCCGTTGAGGAGACTTTATGTGAGGTGCATTCCAGGCCACACATCGCAGTCCACCGAGTCTCTATTGTACTATTTATTTTATTCTGTCTTATTATATTCGGGATAGACGTTGTATTAATATTATACTCCTTAGAAATTGCTCATGCACTTGTGACACTGGGTTTTGAGGGTTTCTGCTGGTTGATTGTTATTGTAGATCACGTAGTTATAATCATTTTCCCCTGCAAATTCTATTTTATACTATTAAAGTAATGGAGATTTTGATCTCAAGAGTAATAAATGAGTAAATAAATTGATGAATTGACATTGGCTTGCGTAACGGCGGCGTTAGGCGCCATCACAACCTATAGTGGATTTTGGGTCGTGACATCTTGGTATCAGAGCGTTAGGTTCACTTGGGTCTCACGAATCATGAGCAAATCTAGCATAGTCTTGCGGATCGGTACGGAGACGTCTGTATTTATCTTCGAGAGGCTACAGGGCTGTTAGGAGCACTTCCCTTCTTGATTTCCTCATCGTGCGGTTTGATTCCATCGAGGCTTGTGCCTTTATTTCCTTCCTACTTAGTCTTATGCGACGTGAAGCGCTAGTTATCAATTGGCGTCGAGGAGTTGTAGTGGTACTACAGACGTGGTACAGGATATTTTTCCCTGCGTATTCGGGCAGGGTATTATCGTTGCCTTGCGGAAGGATGTTCTTTTGTTCCAGCTCAGTATCTGTATTTTCTATGGTTTCGAGACTGTACACGGATTGCTACGATGTCTATACGTTGTTATCGCACAATGTTGGTGTGATGGTAAGGTGCTCGGTTATGTATCGAGGCAGTGAATGACTCGAAATGGGGATTTCTCAGTGCATGATTTAGAGGTTCAACATTTAATTCCAGCGGAGGAAAGGCAATCAGACTATAGATGCCTAGGTTTGGTTGATGAAGTGACGAGGTTTGATATTTTCGAGCGTGGTGAAATTTTCATTTGTGATGTGGTGTCGTCGTCCTTGTTCGAACGCATTACGGTTCGCCGGTGTTACGGTCTTCTTGGATTTTTCCTTCGGGGCAGGATGCTGTGCAATGGTGCCTGATGGGCGGTTGCCAGAGATAGCTGTGTGCAGCGG